GTAATTATTTTATTTATTCATTTAGTCATTTTCATTTGACCAGAGAAAGACAGGCACACAGAGAAAAGGAAAGTGAGAGAACAAGCCACCAGGTCAGAGACTCGAACCACGGTCGGCCATGTGGGAGGGCCCAGCACCCTAACCACCATGACACCTGCTGGCCCTGTATGACTGTTAAAAAAATAAATAAATAAAATAAAAAATACAGCTCAACATCAAGCTCCTAGGCATGGCACAGCCCTCTGCAATGCTAGTTACATGAAAGGGTTCTGGGTTTGAATCTCAGTCTCCCTGGACATGTGATCCTGGCTGGCCGAGGGGCTGGGGGTAGGACTGAGGTGTGGTCACACTTTATCCATCTCTATTGCAGGAAATAAACTTAACAGAAAAAAAAAAAAAAAAAAACAGGCTTAGGGAACTAGCAGTTAGCGTCATGGCTGTGTCGCTGGACTCCCACGTAGTCGACCGCGGTTCGCGTCCCGGACCTGGTGGCTTAAAACTCACGCCGGGCACGTGTGCGTGCGTGCCCAAGATCCCGAGAGGAGAATGGAAGAGAAGAGATTGCGGCGTGACCATCCCCCCTGGGGGGTGATTTCTCGCTTTCTGTCTCTCTGGCTCTGTCTTTCTAGTGAGCGCATGTGCCCTATAGCAAAAATCTAAAAAAAATTCAAAATCATAGCGGGCATGTATGCCCGCCCAAAATCCTGAGAAGAGGATGGAGAAGGGATTGCAGTGTAGCCGTTCCCCCTCGGAGGTGTGTGTGATTTCTATTCCCTTCTCTGTCTTCAGTGAGTGCACAAGCCCTGTAGCAAAAAATCTCTTAAAATAAATTCAGGGACCAGCAGTTGGCGTTGGTGGTTGAGGGCGCTGGACTCCCACTTGGCTGACCAAAGTTCAAGTCCCGAACCTGATGGCTTGCTTTCTCACTTTCCCTCTCACTCTGTCCCGCTCTGATCAAATTAAAGTTTCTGGAACCAGCAGTTGGCATAATGGCTGTGTCACTGGACTCCCGTGTAGTCGACCGCACTTCGAGTCCCGGACCTGGTGGCTTAAACTCACGCCGGGCGCGTGTGCGTGCGTGCCCAAGATCCCGAGAGGAGAATGGAGGAGAAGGGATTGCGGCGTGGCCACCCCCCTGGGGGGTGATTTCTCACTTTCTGTCTCTCTGGCTTTCTCTTCCTGGCGAGCGGCGTGCCCTGTAGCAAAAACCTCTCCCCCCCAAAAAAAATTTAAAATTTAAAAAATTAAAGTTTTTTTTTTTTTAAAGACAAATTCCATGCTGGGCCTCACAATAGTAAACACGCACTATTCCAGAAATGCCCTAAGCCTCAATTTCTCCTTCTGTAACATGAAGTTGAGTGAGAATTAAAGCCGTAAGACAGACCACACCATGGAGGGACGACCCCCAGCAGTGAGGAGGGCTGGGGGTGGGGAGACAGAGATTCCAGACTCGTGAATGTGGGTGGGGGCATGGCCAGGGCTGGGAGTACCTGCAGAAACCAACATCCAAGAGGTCAGTCTCTGCTCTGACCCTTCAAGTCTCAAGAATATAGGGACCAGGGGACCAGCAGTTGGCGTAATGGCTGTGTCGCTGGACTCCCATGTAGTCGACCGCGGTTCAAGTCCTGGACCTGGTGGCTTAAACTCACGCCGGGCGCGTGTGCGTGCGTGCCCAAGATCCCAAAGGGAGAATGGAGGAGAAGGGATTGCGGCGTGGCCATCCCCCCTGGGGAGTGATTTTTCACTT